ATGTACATGTTTATGTGCATTTATGTACATGTTTATGTGCATTTTGTTCCTGAAATTGTAAAAACTGCATCGACTGGCTGCAATCTTAATTTTGACCCGCAGATCGTACAACTCGATCAAAATCTATGGGCGTATCCCATCTGTCAGGCCTGACCGGTCACACCCGGCGGTCAATTTCAACATGAAAAATTAAGGGATCCCGAAAAAGATTCCATTAGAACAATTGGTAAAATTTGGGACTTGGGAAGTTTCGATTACAAATGAACTCTCTTGATGGATGGACTGACCTGTTCAGCCGGCTTAACAATGAAAAGCACGGGGAAACAGATGTCGAGAGAGAACTAAAAACGAAGGGAAGTCATCCAGGGATCGAAACTTTATTCAGGGCAGAATTTCAGGACATGTTCCTTTGTTCCCATGCATACAATTCTGGTTCTTTAAACTTCACATTCAGACAGCTCCTCTGAGCCCTTTGAACCGTATTCTAACTGTGTTACAACTTAAGTAACTTTAACCGAAACTCTTTTTGCAAAATCGACCAGAGGATATGATAAGACTGTCGAAAGGCGACGTTTTGAGGGTTAATGCTCTCTCTAAACACCAGCTTTTAAAACTCTTTACGGTGGCCAATTTACATCATCAACTCAGTTGATAAAACCCCAATTACCTTGTTACTCACCACCCACGTAGCACCACAGTTTCTTTAGAAACTGACTCCCTCTATTCACTTGTCAAAAGGTGGCGACATGAATATTGTAAGTGGCGGAACAATTTTTTTCATTTTTCATCTTTCACTTTTTAACATATCTCCTGATGTAGCGGCATTGCTCCAGAACAGCCCACAGTTCTTCATTTCCGATCTTGTTTTTCATTCTCAGACTCATTCTGTGCTTTTCTTTTAGAGTTTTTTCCTTAAGTAAATGTAATGGTGGTAAGCTAGCAGGGGGGAGAACTTTAGACAACGACCTTTCACTCGATATATCTTCGCTTTTCATAACGTGTGTCGACTTCTTTCCGTGAGAGAGACTCTTCTCTGTTGTGGTTACTGGGGAAGTTGACTGTCTTGAAGGGACCTGATCAGTGACTTTAGCACCAAGGAAATATTCGAAGGGTGTCTCTCGACTTGAACCAATTCGGCTTTGTTGTGAGAGATTTCTTTCAGTTGCCAAAATTCTTCTGACATGAGAAAGACCACTGTAAGACACCGAGGAAATGTTATCGTAATCGAAACCAACTTTCTGAGAATATTTTCTTTTGTTATGAGAATTATTTTTCTCAGGGATTAGCCACTGTGAGTCAAAATTTCTTGAGAATGAACACAGGAGCTCCCGTGAAGTCGCCCATCCGTGAACCATTTTATATTGTTCTTGCGCATCAACAGTCCCCGCAGAATAAATTTTCCGAGATGAAAGGACAGATCTGAACAGACGGGTGATGGCGTCTTTTTGTGCCTTCACAAACCTCTTTTTCTCCGCTGTTCTTTGTATATCTAATTGCTTCTGTGCCTCTTTAAGTCGCCTTTCTTCACGAGCGTTTTGCGTTGTGATTCTCTTCGTTTGAAAGCCGTCCAAAGTGAAAGGTATTTCTCCAAACTGAGTCTCCGCTCTGATCTTTGCAGTCCTGCGTTGTTGCTTCATTTGTTTTAAGAATGAATGAGGACACTGATTAATGATAAGCAATGAGAGACTAACCAATAAACAGTTCTGGATGCTGAATTTGCTTCATCGTGGCGTGCAGTCTTCCATTCGCTGTTCCTACTACACTGATTTTCAAGAAATGACCTGAACGTATTTAATGATTGACAAAATGATTTCTGATAAACAAAAACAACTGTTGGTAAACTGAGAACTGTGACCCCTATGACTTCGTGCGAGAGAACCTCCGGCACCATGGCGGAAACCACAACTGAGTTAAAACGCATTAGTTACCAAAGTATAAATATCTCATCAAAACCAGTTCGGTCAGCTCTGACTGCAATTTGATACAAAATCTTAGCCATCTTCCGACTGCATAGTACGGTATTACAGAGAGAGAATCCAAGATTATGCACTCATATATCCGTGTACGCCTCCCGGCAGTCTATCTAATATCCTTGTACTAAAAGCTGTTCACCATTTATTTTTTATCTGAAAAAATCGAAGGAAATTAGGATTCAGTTCAGGGGAAGTTGGGTAGCGACAAGAAGTCCTGAGCGGCACATTTGGAAATATGAACTGATTGATGGATAACAACTGAGGAAATATGTGGTATCTTTTTCATCTTTCTTTTATCCATCGTGCAGAAACAGGAGAGGTACAGAGGGAAGTAGATCAAGGTTTTTGTCAGTATAAAACGCACACAATGTACTTTTGAAGGCTCACTTGTCCTACGCGATGAGTCACGCACATTAGCGTGACAGTTGATCTGACGTGGACGTACTCTCTTGTCGAGGAAGTCTGGAATTAAATTAGGAGTTAGAAGATGGCGGCTGCCTCTCTGTTTCTCTGTCGCTCGTCAAGACACCTTTCGTCGAGGATTAGAGGGTTTTGCTCCAAGGTAAGTAATATAAAAAAAAAAATTAAAACTTTTGTTTGAGCTAAATGAGTTTAATGCGTTTCCTGGGTGCATTTCAGGCTGTTATTGATCGTGGGGTTGTTCTTGGCGTGTTCGAGGTGGACAGCGGTCATGAAAAGAAATCTGATGAGGGTGATGTAGAAAATTTCTTCACCGACGCGGCAAAAAATTTTAACTCAAGAACTTCAGGAAAGCTCAAGGAGATGATCGAATTGTAAGAAACTACCATTTTAACTTTGTTTGAATCATTTTTTAACTTGTCACTAACTTTGGTCATTTCGTGATATTAGGTGTTGTGTGACAGTATTTTATTGAAGTCATGTCCGTAGGTGCATGTCAGAAAGAGAAGGCCTTAACTGTAGATTTGACCCTCACCAAAGGTGGCTGAGATAGTGTGTATGAAGGATTACAGATCTCATGGGGGAGGGGGGATTAGGGATGCTATTGGTATAGAATCTGGGACAGAACAATGATGAAGAACATAAGCCCCTAACAATCTATTTTAAGGGAAAAGTACCAAGAAATGATTGAGATATTTATGGAATGTGTTATTGCCAATAGGTCTGGATTTAAGGGAAAAATTGGCAAATCAAAGACATACTTTGGCATTGATAAGGTGTGTAGTGTTTGAAATTTCTTCAGTTCTTGTTTTTATCTTTATAGCATTAATGAAGATAGTAGGTATTGTCTGATTGGTCAGTTCAGTTTTTAACCCAATGCTTTAACAGGTTATAGAGTCAGCATTTGATTTGAGTGACAATTAGTTATGCCATAAAAGCAATAGAACACATTTTTCCAGGCTCTATAATGTGATAAGCTACTTGAGATGTTGGAAAGCTTACACATCACTCGCTGAGACTTGTGATATATAAGCTTTCCTCACATTCTCCCAACATCCTGCTTGGCTTCATCATGTTATAGAGCCTAGAAAAAATGTGTTCTGTTGTACAACAGATTTTGATGAATTACGACACTTTCATCCATTTCTGAAATATGTTATTTACTGCTTGCACAGGACATTCCATTATAATATATATTATTGACATGTAATGATAACAATGTTGCCATGGTGACCATAATTTTTTAACAAGGCTGTTTTACCCTTAATTGAGGAAACCTATAGTCCACTGAGATTTTCAAGGCTGAATTTTTTTTTTTTTTGTTTCATAAAGTAAACTTTTCTTTTTACGATGAGAAATTGTTTTATTTCCATTTTGGAAGTTTAACTGGTATTTCCATTAGGAGTGTAAGGTGATATTTAGATATGTGTCTTAAAATGTAGTCTTTAATTGAAATATCTCACTGATATTTATGTAATAAAAATAGCATGACTCCAGGTGCAATTACCATAAGTTCAGAATTAAAAATTAAGGATGTAGAATCATTGATCAAGAGCACTGGACTTCGTGTTGATTTCCAATGATTTATCTTTATTACAACATGCCGATGCTCAAAACTGTCAAACTAAGATACAAGCAAAAGTATCTAGTCTAAGCGACGCGAAAGGACAAAGCTGAACAATGATAGGATGTGATAAAAACACGAACACAGGAAAGGGCAAAACAACTAAACAAGAAATAAAATCGATGAAGTGAAACTAAGAAAGGTAAAAACACATGCTTACTGATTGTCCTCTTTGTATGCCTGAGTAGTTATAAATGCAGGATCCAAAAACTTCGCAATAAACATAATAAACTTCGCTGACACAAAAACACAGACCATGCACACAGACAACTGGTAAAGATGCACGAGGTTCTGAAATAAGATCTGACTGAAACGTCACTAATATCTAACTTAAACAGTTACAACATGTCTACCTGTAGAAATGTGTCCTCTGGTTTTAATTTTGTCTTTCATAACCTAGCAAAGGAAAAAAGTGAAAGAAATTGTTACCACACCATATTGTAAATGTAATTATCCTCTACTTATACAATGAAACACATTTCAAGAGTACAGCATTTATTTTGATTTGTGCACACTCTCCTCAGTAGGCTTTAATTTTTTCTCTCTTGCTATCTTTTAGGATTACCCTTGTGTTGTTGTTGTTGGTCTGGGTAAAAAAGATATTCGGTCTGATGCAGAGACAAGTGAAGAAAAGGAACCTTCTAGTAATTACAGACAGGCTTCTGGGGGTAAGGTTTCTGTTATTACACATTTGGTAGCAGTTGGAACCAAAACGTTTCACAGTAAATCATGAAAAACTCCTCAAAAATTCTCTTTCCTCCTTGTGAATCTCTGGCCTATTTGGTTCTAATTAGCAAGTAAAGAGGGAATAGGTGCAAACCAAGTCAGGGCTTGTATTTCTCATACTTTTGTCAGAAATTTGTTGTCGATAAATGAGTGAATAGTAATTTCACTGTTCAGCTGTGAAAGTCATTTTGCAATTTGTAATCATCCACAGTTCTTAATCCAATTTAGTTATGATAATAGAACACTCTCAATCAGGTTGGGACTCTTACGGTACGACATATATATATATATATACACATCAGTGTTTTTGTTTATCATAGAAAAAAGTCAAAATAAATGTAAAGAGAACCAAAATGGGTCTTGTTCAGTGGGTGTGTCTCAGATTCATTATGCAGAGGATGTGTACCCAGGTAACCTTGAGGAGAATTCTTTTGAAATGTCTTTTCCATGGAACTTTTTTTGCACAGTTGGCGTTAAAGTTCTGAGAGACCAGGGAGTTCAAACAGCAGAAATAGATACATTTTCAGACCCTCAAGGTAAGAAAACTAAGAGCTACATTTGATGTTGATAGTACTTCATAAAAGTGCAAGAATGTTGTAATTTGTCTTCAGACGTAAACCTTTCCATGAATGAATCAGTGCAGACAGCATATTTTTGTACCAATCATTTTCAGCTGCAGCTGAGGGAGCAAATCTAGCTCTTTTTAGTTATGACACCTTGAAGTCTTCAAAGAAGTTACAAGTAGATCTCCACCTTCATGAGCATGTGAAAGAAAATGATTTCTTGAGGTAAATACGACAGACGTAATTATATAATTATGTAAATGTGATACTAGTAATTATAATATGAAATTGGAAGTAACTGTCAACTTGTACCACTGCTATTCCATGAATATTAATTATGCTTTAGACAGTGAAATAAAGTGTATCTGGCATTTGTTATGTATTGATGACGAGCTTTTTTGTTATTTAGTTAATGAAATGTATTGTTTGTTTACTCATGATCATTATGTACTGGTATTTTGATCACATAAATCTAGCGAAAAGGAGGAAATGCATTTGTTTGCCTGGCGTAAACTTTGGCAGGATGGATTACTGTTATCTGGAGCACAAAATTTTGCCAGAGAGTTGATGGAAACACCATCCAACTTGTTGACACCAACAATTTTTGCTGATACCCTCACTGAGAGGCTGTCAGATCTAGAAACTGTTGAAGTACATGCAAGGTATGTAGCACTATTAAATCATTTTTACATGTCTCTGTGGCTAGTTTCACTGACTGTATTTTACTAACTAAAGACTAGTAGTGTACCAGGCAATAGTCAGTGACCTTCATTACCTGCATACAAAATAAACTTGCATGACTTTCTAAGCATTCTATGTTGTGGTTTCCACAGCACAAACAGACTAAAGATATCAATGTTACCCTTTCCAAGAGCAGTTCCATTCCATTATAAGGTTAATCCTGGCATTTTGCAAAGTTTCCCTGTGGTAGTTTATTAATTTTTTTTAAAAAGTCTGTACTAAATCCAAGTGACTCAGGAAACCAGAGTTTATCGTGGTTTCCATGGCTTGAAGCGATAATAATTGATTATGGTACTATTCTCATGGTGACCATGAAGGGGATGCCAGTTGATTGCAGGGTTGCCTCCAGCATTTTATCGGGCTTCCTTGATGGTTAACTGGTACATCTTAATACTCTTGGGTGGAGAAGAGGCACTGTGACGTAAAAGTAAGGTGTTTTGCCCAAAAACACAACACATTGACTGGGCCAGGTCTCCAAAACCTGGATCTCTCAACCCAGAGTCCAGGGCATTAACCATTAGAGCACCTGTCAGGTCTCCCTCTCGTGTTGTTACCCATTTAAACCTCTGAAGGTACACGGACATTTAAAGAGCTCTGTCAGTGTCTTGCCTGTGAACACAACAGGATGACCATGGTCAGAGTCTAATCAGATTATTGCCTGGCTCCTATATAGAATATGTTGTAGAAATTGCTTGGTGGAGAAATCAATTTAAATTGAATGTTAATTTATGGTGAGGTTCTGTGCCCATAATGCTACTGAACAGTAGCATTTGGACTGAAGAGTATCACTTTTTGTCTCCACGAGTTGTTTTTACAATGTATCATTACTTTCTAGAGATCAACGTTGGGCAGAAGAACACAAGATGGGGGCATTCCTGAGTGTTGGCAAGGGCTCAAGTGAAGCCAGTGTTTTCTTAGAAATGAAGTATTCTGGTGCTAAGGAACCAGATTCATCTCCTTTAATTCTTGTAGGAAAAGGTGACTGTTCATTGGATTTTGCATAAATCAGTTTTGTGACAATTTTAGAGTGACCTAATTACAGTCCTGAAGAAGAGCTCTTCCTAGCAAATAACTGTTTTGTTTGATGAAAATCTTTTCACCTGAATATTTCTTAAAAAAATGTTCCACTTACTATCTTAGATTCATTCTTCATGTATAATGGTATATCACAGCTATACAAGGGTATTTTTTGACTGCCAAGTTGTTGGTTTGCTGATGGGTGGGTGGGCTAATGGACTAAATTGTCAGTTGAATTTATGCTGCTTGCTCTTCAAAAAGTTAAGATTTAATTATGTTTGCTGGTCAGTGACCTGTCCCTTTTTTTCCTTTACAGGTGTGACATTTGACAGGTGTGATAAACTTTTTATTTCTTTTTTTTTTTTTTAATCTAATAACCTCAAATTTTAGTCATGGACATCTTGGATTTTATCAGTGCCATAGGTGACCTCAGTTAGTTTCTATTACTTTTTGTTCTTGTAGAGATTAGTAATGTTTATGCCTGTGTTTATTGAGCTTTTATTTTCATTTTTTAAATTTCTTTTGCTAGTGGTGGTATCAGTATCAAGCCTGCTGCTGGAATGGGGCTCATGAAAGCTGACATGGGTGGAGCTGCCACTGTCAGTGCATCATTTGAAGCCATAGCAAGGCTACAAGTGCCAATCAATGTCATAGCTCTTGTTCCTTTGTGTGAAAATATGCCATCAGGAAGTGCTAACAAACCAGGAGATGTCATAACTGCAATGAATGGGAAGACCATTGAGGTAATTCAGTGAAATGGTCTGTGTGTATAGGATCGTGCTAAAGGAACTACTGAAGCAGGGAAAACATTATTTTCCTTTGCCAGAGGAAAGTTTCAGTAACGGGACAATGTTGAGCAAAAACGTGAGACCGGAAACGATAAACAGGAGGTCATAAGGCTAAATCGGGAGGCCTGGAATCTCTGGAAGTTTTTTGTTTCAGAGCTGTTTAGATTATTTTGGGTCAAGTATTTTCCCGTTTGGCCCGAACCAACTGTTGACGCGAGCAACGTCTTATCTACCAATCAGATTGCGACATTACTGCCAATTGTGGTGAAAATGGTAATACTCAGTATTCTAACCCATTTTTCGTAGGTTGATAACACTGATGCAGAAGGAAGGCTTATTCTTGCCGATGCTCTTTGTTACGCCAGTAAATTCAACCCTCGTGGCATTATCGATGTGGCTACACTCACTGGTAACTGTCTCAATCATTTAAAATTATCACTTTAACACGTGATTTGCGAGAACAGATAAAGTTGGGGCACATCCATAGGTTTTAACATCTTGCCTCGCGTCAGTCACAGTCTTTGAAGTATTATTTTAAGCTTTAAGGGTTCATGTTATCAACATGTGCGAGATCTCACTTTAATTGTACGGTCTATCCTTTTACTTATGTGTTTAGCATGAACCAAAGTTTTTAAATACTAACACAGTTTCTTACAGGGGCGATGGATATCGCTTTAGGACAGGGAGCCACAGGCGTTTTTACAAACTCTTCAACACTGTGGAACTGTATATTTCAGGTAAAGAATTCCAGTATTAATACAGAGGCCTTCTTAATTTTTCGGGCCGGGGACGCAGTCGAAAACTCTTGCAGCAAACGTGAGGGTGTTCTTTTGCGCTTTCTTTCCTTTCACTCTTAGATTGAGGAATGCTAAGTCTTCCTTCTGTTCAGGCTGCCTAAAATGAGACAAACTTCAATCGATGGCGTCGTAGGGCGGGGGTGTTAAAGGTTCCCTTTTATCAAAACATAGCTAATAAAGTTCTCCTTTGCAATTATCATGCACCGCAACCCTTCCTTTAGAAATTCTCTAATTAAATACTGCTTAAAGTCTGTTGTCAGGAAACCCGTAGAGTTTTTTTGTTGTTGTTTTACGTTCATGCAGGCTGGGTTTAATTGCGGGGAGAGAATGTGGCGGATGCCATTATACAAACACTACACTGAACAGATTAAGTCTGATGTGGCTGATTTAAGAAACACTGGGAAAAAGAGGTAACATGGAAGAATTACAGATAGATAGGAATTGGGAGAAGACTTAGAGAAGCTGGCGTGAGAGGGGGCGTGACTTTAGGAAAAAGGAGGACGGGTTGGTTCATTGGAGAGGAGAAGAGAAGAGCTTAATAGGTCTTTTAGCAAAAAAAATGCTTAGAACTTAAATGAGGCTGACATGGCAGGAACTGGATTAACTAGTTGGAGAAAAGAAAGGAAACCCAGCGAAATCTGTGTGGAGTTTGCCGCCCTTGATATCAGTAATAATAGTGCTTGAAACACTACGAACTTAATGGTTTATCTTCCTTTCATACTGGCCCCAAAAACTTTACGAAGCTTATTTTCCACACATCCACGACTCGACGCCTTTTAAACGATGAAAGACTTCGATTCTCTTGTTTTAACTAGGGTTGTTAAAATGTGTGAATATGCTGAATGATATATTTGGCGAGTTTTGGGTAAAAACAAGATGTGATTTTAACTGTCAGCATCCCAAGGACCCGTTTTCTGTTTGCGTTCATTGGCACGTCAAATTAGTATTGTTTGTTTCGTTAGGTCCGCTGGCTCGTGTACTGCAGCAGTTTTCCTCAAGGTAATTGTGAATAAACTTTGCTTCAGTGTTTATCACTTAAAACTAAAGCTTCAAACGTATCCTTATTTCGATTCGAGAACGAAGTTTTTCAAATTGAGGACTAATAATCCTCTCCGGACAGGAAATATTTCGTTTTTTTATTATTATTATTTAACAAATGGTAAACACCACAGCGTACACTATTGAGTTATGGATGCACGCGGGGGGTTGCTAAGCACGAAAGAAGCGTAAGAGTCGCTCGAGGCGATAGCCGAGAGCGACTCTAGCTTCTTGAGTGCCTTGCAAACCTCCCAAGTGCATCCATAACTCAATAGTGTACGCTGTGGTGTTTACCATTTGTTTTATAACATAACATTGATACATTGTAGCTAAAGAGTTCCCTTTTATTTAATAAATCTTACGCGACCAGAAAAAACAAGCGCGCGCGGAAAAATAGTCTTTGCATTTGCTCACGTCAGCAGCGTACACCCATGGGCAAATGGGGGACGCTAAATTGACCAATCAGAGCGCGCGCTTTACTTTGGTTATGTTATGATATTATTTAGCAACACAAACCCTTATTACATTAAGTATAACCCATCGCATCATACTGGGTAAGACTAGATTAACATGTCAGAGAGACTGAGAAATGGACGTTAGACGAGACGGACGCCTACTTCTGGGAAGAAAAGATTGTAAACGGGAATTCGCGTTGCGAATTTGCTGTTGTCCTATCAGTATTTAGATATAAAGTGGTCTGAAAGCTGTAGTTTTTTTGTAGGAGTTTGTTGACGCTAAACATTGGGCTCATTTTGACATCGCCGGGGTGATGGACAACAGTTCGAATGCAATCCCATATCTCAACAATGGCATGTCAGGTGAGGTGTTTCAGAAAGTTGCCCACTTATCGGACGATTCAACCATGTCAGCTGCAACCTGCAAACCGCGTGATATGTCTGCGGCACAGCTTCATTAACCTAGAATAATACTGATGAATAAAGGCTGATAGTTTCGAAAGAAACTGTTTGGGGCTGCGTCGGTGGGAGTAACGAAATAATTTGGATATATCAACAAAGTTGAAATGGTAAATTAGCCACCGTAATGATTACAAAAGCTGACGTTTCGAGCGTTAGCCCTTCGTCGGAGCGAACGGCTAACGCTCGAAACGCTCCGACGAAGGGCTAACGCTCCGACGAAGGGCCAACGCTCCGACGAAGGGCTAACGCTCGAAACGTCAGCTTTTGTAATCATTACGGTGGCTAATTTACCATTTCAAGTTTGTTGATATATCCAAATTACTAGAATAATACTGCCTTGAAAGGGAAGGATGTTGTACGAGGTTTGGTTTGCAATTTTAAGAAACACTACGGGTCTGGGTTATTAAACTCTGAGGAAGCCCCAAATCATTACATATTCCACCTGTTCTCTGGACCGCTAATTTTGTGAGTAACTTTTCTTGTCTTCTCTTCTTATCATCATTAATGAACAGTGAAATGGGTAGATTTAAAACAAGTCTGTACCCTTTTCCTTCGTCACATTACACGATTTTATATTAACGTTAGTTCATCTAATTCCTCACAGGTCGACCAACAAGAGCCCTTGTGGAAATCGCTCGAAAACTCGCAGTCGACAACTCGAATTAAAGCACTGAAGTCCACCTGAAGAAAGCATGACACATAACTGAATATGTTATCGCGAAAAGAATTTCACGAATAAGGAAAATAGAACGTTCACCCGTGATCTTGAACCACCCATATATAAAGCGCGGAAAAATAAGGTTCTCTGTTGCAAATCAAATCTTGTGGGAGACACTTTCCAACGCACTTACCGTGCTTTAAAGTTTAGTGAACTAATTTTGCCGCGAACACGAGAGCGTTAATGTTCTTGGTAGTATCTTTTAAAACCTGAAGATTGTCTTAGCTGGTTTTGAAATATGAAAAACCAAAGATGGTTTATCAAAGAACACAACAATTACCAAGGGAGACTTCGTTACGGGGGTTTGAATTTAATCTGTCTTCAGGACTACAGCTGCACCCCAAAGTAAATTAAAACTTAACATATAAGTAAATAATAACGGAGATGTGCAGACTTACGACAAGATTGAATTACGAGCAGCAAATATAATAATGTAAACTTCATTAAATACTCTTTTTCAAACCTTAATATAACATATTTCTTCTAAAGCATCATCAGATCAAGTCTCCGCTTGTAGATAAGTTACAGCTTTATAGAAAGAATAACAAGAACGATGATATTGTTACTTTTTCTTCCAATAACCTTTGACAACTTTTTGTCACAGTAACTAAACTATTTAAAGTAATTGTCTTGCAAGTGCATTCTCGTGCAAATATGGCCTCTCTGGAGAGCCTAAACCTTTCATTGAATGCAAATTAGAAGCTCTAGTACCCTATTAAGATTAAGTACCCAGAGGCTCCAGTACTCCTTTTTATTCAGTACCTAAGGGTACCCTACTTAAGAGGCTGGAATACACTAAACGTCTATAAGTATAGGTAATCGCATGGGGTCGAGCAAAATTAAGGATTAATATCACTTGTGTTTTCGGAAGTTGCTGAAATTGCCCTCGTCGCTGCGCGACTCGGGCAATTTCTGCAACTTCCGAAAACGCAAGTGATATTAATCCTTAATTTTGCGAGGAACCATGTGATTGCTTGTTTATAATATAAGGGGCAAAATGTTTTCTTACTGATCTCGCGCAAAACGGGACGCCATTGTTGCAAAACAAACAGAAATTTCTTTACCTTGGTAGCCGTTGCTAAGAGATTTTCAGCCAACCTTTTTCAAGTAATTTTTCCCGGGGCAATTACAAAAATTTAGAAAAAAATGCCCTCTGTCTTGACCAATCACAATTCAGTAATTTTGCCCCTTATATGATAACAACAGCTACGACTATTTAGTCATCATCGTCTTCATCTCTCTCAATTACCAAGGGAGTCATAAAGAACTGGGCTACGAATCTGCCTGAGTCACGCAATCCTTCATATATGTCGTCTCGCCCCAGTCCAATCCGTGGTTTAACCTTAGCACCGTCGATATAAAGTCTCTTGGCGCTGACAGTCACGTAAGGCGGACCGTTTTGTAAGCGTCCTTCAAATGTGATCTGAGAATGAAAATGTAGAGGAAGGAGACAGTGATGTAACACTGCTATAATCTTAAAGGGGTTCACAGGAGAGGCAAGTTTGCAGGCTTTTACAGTACATCGATTTAACCTTGAACAGTTCCTCAGGAGAGCGAAAATGGTCCTCGATACCAAGGGCAAAACAATAATGATAAAGTTATAGAGGTCTGCACCTGGAGACACATTCTTAGTTCGACATACGTGGATGATGAACTGCTAATGATTGGCAAGGAAAGCAGCAATGTGGCTTGTATCGAACTCAGATTATCTGGGGCCACGAGGGCCATAAGCTCATCAGTTTCATTACTGTCATATCTTACCCTCTCAACCCCTCGTTAAATAAAGCCCACAACTACTACTTAACTATACTTCATTTGTCACATTTTCAGTTAGAAAGTTTCATAAAAGCGAAGAACTAAGGATCATAAGGAAAAAAAAGACATACAATTTGAATGTGTTCGTTGTACCTGTGTGTACTTCTGTAAAGTGACCATGGTATGGTAGAAGCGATGCTTCACTGTAACTTGAATCACTTCACTGCTGTATGACTTGGAATCTGTCATGTTCACCCCAACAGAAAACGTGTACCTGTCAAAAGTTCGAAGATGACACGGTCCTCTCGCCCTTGGGAGCCACGAGCTTTTCTGAGGAGGACTATAGATGGAGTGAAAAAATAAAAGAGAAAAAAACGTCGGAAATTGTTTAGTGAGTTTATGAGACAAAAAGTAAAATCTGAGTGGCCAGTTTTTATTTTGCGGTCGGATGCTATCATTTAAGCCAGAGAGAACTAGTTCTGATCACCATGGACGTAAGAGGTAGCTTCAGGCGTGAAATTTACGTACTCTTTTCCTGACAGTTTTATTTTTGTGAGTTAAACTAAGAACTATGCTGGGTGAAATAACTTACTTGGACTCCACATTAATGAGTGAAAATAAGAGGACTAACATCTTGGAGTCAGATTCACGGTAAAGTTTGTAAACGAACATTTTGTGTTGTGCTTTTAACCAGTTATCTTAGGAAAAAAGTTAATAAGATTACGAAGGCGGTGGAGCGAGGGGCCTAAATGAAATTGGGAACGGGGGGGAGGGGAAGAACTCCTTTGTTTCAGAACTAACGTTAGCGTCGCAGAAAGTTAGCTTGGCAAAATATTCATTCTCGTTATCTTTTCACATATTGTTTCCTGATGATCGCGCGCTCAGCAAACTTAAACGACACAAGGACAATTATTGTCAAAGTTGCAAAAAAGTTTGCTGTTGCCAACAAAGTAAGCAGAAGGCTTTAAATGCGATGAGTATGGTCGTGTACTTAGATTGTTTCACCACAAGCCCCTCTCTGTTTCAAAACGTTCTGTCGCCTCTGGTTTATCCAATACCCTTTCCATGCTGTCCATACAATTTCCAGCTGCTAATCATATGCATGCTACACGTATGGACACAATTTCCACGTATATTATAGTTATTTTAAGTACATAAGTGTGACAGAGTAGTTCTTTGTCTGGTTATTCATTCAATCTAAAACGTGTTTGGTGATCACTTTGTCAAATAGTTACCGTGCCTCTGCTCGACAGTAGACCACAGATGACGTCACACTGTGGTAAGAACGAAAAAAAGTGGCACACAAGGCGCAGCGGATGGTAACATAGACTCTATTTGTTTCATATAATGAAAAAGCTACTTTGTTTTTGTTAACAGTGATGCCATCTATGCATCTGTCCCCCAATAGATCTACTAATTACTAGATTACTAATGCCAGAATGTTTGTATAATTCAGCTCATTATCTTAATGTAGAACAGCAAGTAATGTAGATGTTAACCATTCTAACCTGGAAACATTGTCAGCTTCTCCTCCTCCAAGAAGGCACTTGAAAGTCGGGCGCAGAAACACAGGCAGGATTGCTAAAAGGTTTCTGAAACGATTTTCCAGTGAGGTTACCTTGACATAAGCCACAGTTCCAGTCCAGTTCACTGACTGACCTTGTAATTCAGAGCACTGTATCTGTACTGATGCCAAGTTAACGTTTTCACTCTCCCTGGCCTCCAGTCCACACGTTTTGGAATACTCTGCCCAAGTCAGAGACTTATGGGTGTCATATAGAGAGGGAACAAAATTGACAAAAACAATAGGGACCAGAAGGCATAACACTGCTAGGCCCGCCACCACCATGAGCAGTTTCTTCTTTCGTCGGAGTTTGTCCAAATAGGGAGTTTCCAGTTTGGAGTAATAGAAGAACGCTGATGTAACCGCAAGGATGATTGCAGTTACAGCAAGTTTCAACGCGATGTCAAGAGCCATAAACCACTTCACAAAATAAGCGATTGTAAGACCAATGGTGAATAGGAACAGCAAGGGTAGCATGGTGACAAAAATGACCCACCCCACTGTGGCACGAAGCAGACTCGCCCACGAGGTGAAATGGAACAACTCTGTAAACAGCTGACACCAGAGTAGGCATACTACGTGAGGGACAAGAACTTTATATATACCTCGCCAAGAGTGACGGCCAGCCATGATGATGAGTAAAACGAGGATGACCACGTGAAGAAGGGAGGGGAGGCTGATTTCTAATTCCAACCCAGAAGGCAGCGGTACTACATAGAAAAATCGAAAAAGGAAAAAGTTAAAACCAAAATACTTTATTCTTAAGAACACAGAGAGGTGAGTAACACTTACCACTAAAGATGGGATAGCACAGGACACCCAAAACTCGTACATTCTCCAGGCTGCGTAAACCCGTTGTCAATAGCTTGAGGAGAATAGTGTATAATGCATAGTCAGCATATTTGTCGGGCAAACCTCTGAAAGATGAGACTAGTTCAAATACAAATACAGTTAGTAAATGATACACTAGTACAAAAAACTTGCTTCAAATCCCAGGATATAATTTCCTGACCAATAACTAGTGTCAATGACCATGTTATCATGTAAGACAACCAAATATATGCGATAATATGAGGTTATCGTATCACTCAAGTGCAAAATCTCTCAGAGGTTTTTATCTCTGCTGAAAAACTGCAGACTGAAGTACCATAAAATCCAGGCATGCTTGGGTAGGAGTTGGAATGACAGGTACTCCCTGAAAACTTTGCTGGGAACTCTTATCCAAATTGACAACAAACTGCTAAATAATTTTTCTTTCATGATTGTTATTTCAAACCTGACCCAAAAATCATTACTGGCACTATTAAAGGGTTTTAGGAACAATTATGGTGGAGGAAGGGCCTAATAAACTTGTTTTATGGAAAAAATTATTTAATGTATTGTTAACAACAATTTATTGATTTTAAGACCAGAATGTAAATGTTACAGTCAACACATATAAATTCAAAATTCAAAGATCAGCTCCATACATGTAGGATCAGCCATACCCTCTAATAAGCTACACATCTACCTAAATCTTGGACAAAAGATGTAAGTCAGGGAATTCACCAAAAATTCCAAATTTGACTTTACCAAATAAAGGAATAAAAAAGTGCCAAATTCACCTGTGAAGAATAGAGCCACCAAAGCCATTTCAGAACATGGGATCCACTGCTTGTCACAAAGTGGAAGAACTGCCACTGCTATCAGCAAAACAATGAAGAAATACACATATGGAGCTGAAGATTTCCACATAAATGTCCTTTCTGTCTCTTGTGCATCAAGTCTTGGATCAAATCTGGACAAAATTATCAGTTTTAATTGAAATTATTATTTTATTGTAACAAAATGATATGGTTACCGCACATCATTTACATTTAAAATATAATAAAAGTAGATTGTGGCTGTTAATTAATGTTGGTGGAAATGAAAACTGTATGTCATCATGTTGTACAATATTGTTGATTTTCAGAATCATGAACAGATCTTTAAAACATGGGGATTAATTTTTTTCAATATCACTTTGATAACATGCAGTTACAATTAACATATGGCCCATGCAGCCACCTAACCAATCTCTAAAGCTTGAGTATAAATTATTAGATAGAAAATTAGATCACAGAATTGGAACTAGCTGGTGCTGGAGTTTTCATGTGGAACCTAAATTTTTCCTGGTCTCATTATTAATATTTTCCTTTTACAACACGCATAACATAAGAATTCTCAAGGCTGTACAAACAATAAAGACAGCTGAGAGTATTGCTTACTTTTTCATGAGCTCTGAAACACTCTGTAGCTTCCGCAAAGCTTCTCTACCATAAAACATTTGAAGTGAGAACACCACCATAGAAATGAATGAAATGTAGAACACAACCAATGGCACAAGAAACCACAGGAAATCTCCAGTAAGATTGCTATAGATGTATAGAAGGAACAGCATGTATATCTGGGATGTTGGAATCAAGGACTTCAAAAAACTTGATCCTTCCTTTGAAATCTTTACCAGAAGGAAGTGCTTGGCTGATTCAAGGGATTGCTGTGGAAACTGCACAATCTAGATAAAAGAGAGTAATTGAAACTAAAAACAGAACAAGGAATGTTATAACTCACAGTTACCTGATAATAATTATTACAATCATTTATAACACAACACTGACCTCAGAATCAAACAAGCTGTAATAAAGTGTTATATCAAGTTTGTTTTAAGTTTTATAGGATGGTGTATTTCCAAAAAGTATGCCCCAGAAACTATAAATTAATTGATATTTTTGCCATTAAAAGTTCTACAATGAAATTGTGACAATTAAGGTGTTGCATGATTCTAAATTCAACTACAGACACCACCACTATAAATCTTGCTGAGCAATTACCTCTACAATTTATTTCATCTATTTGTCATCTGTTTAAACAACAGTTCATTGCTATGTACATTAAAGATATTTCAACATCCTTTGACATCACAAAACTTTTATAGAGGGAGGTTATATTTATAAGGCCTGCCTCTACCTACTCTTTGTCAAAATTGAACTAATCACAAGGCAATAAATCACAATAATTCATGTAAACTAAACTTCTGACAATCTTGATCCTAGAAGTATGGACTGTGTTCTTATTATGGCTGGTATTATTCTTGGCTCTGACGGGTAAATTCATCAGTGGGGTCTCTGTAGCTCAGTGGCATGAGCCTTGGATTACTAAATCCCATGGTCTGAAGGTTTGAATACACACCCGTGATGAATGAGTGATGGTTTGTGATGAATTTTGAGTAACATTTCTCAAGAATGAGAGATTAAGATGACAAAACCCAAATTAAGTGACAAATTTTTTAATAATTTAATCTAGTTGTCACTGGACTTATAACTGTATGCTTCTTTAATGCAATTACCTTTTCTAGCACAGATGCTTTTTGAAATTTTTCCATGTCCTCTTTACTGAGAAGGATAACAACTTCTGGTACTTCACCTCTGGCATATGCCAAAGCAGTGTCCTTCAGCTCACTCAGAGTAAATTCATTCTGTCCACCAACTGTCAAAGCGTTCATCAACAAGCTCATGAGGCCTAAGTCTTGTTCTATTTTTTCCTGGTCTTTCTCCAAATCTTCAATAGAACTGGTATCCTGACTTGCAGTCTCTTTTTCCTTAAGAAAGTCAATGTGTAATTACCAAAACTATAAATTTCAGGGCTCGACACTAACTTTTCAACTTACTAGCCAAGTGGCTGGTGACATCTTAGATGCTACGACAATGTCTGTTAATTCATTTACTTGCCAAACTGGCTAGTGGAAACCGAAAACCATTAACCAAAACTGACTTTCTACTAGTCTGTGGCTTAAGTGGGCCTCCATTTAGTGTCGAGCCCTGTAAATGATGGATATTTTCTTACATTCAGATATCAGAGCACACCATCATAGACTTTTTGACTTCTTGTATCTTTGAAACTAAGGAATAAAGCTCAAATTTAAAAGGGTTCATATTATCAATTAATTAATAGAATAGCAGTAGAATCCACTTTCTATTGTTTACCAGCATAATTTATGTTTACGAGAACATGAGAAAATTTTGTAAAACATGAGCGGGAGGCAATTAACTCACTAACTTATTCTTGCTTTCTCCTTACATCCCAAGTGGGTTTAACTACTCTGGTAAACTGATTGAAAGTGTGGTCTACTGCTTTTATAAAAATAACTATGATGCATGGCTTTACGGATGAAATAAGCAATAGGGCTTTGACAAATCAGGGTGCTTGTAGGCTATCTCAGTTATTTTTAATTATACACTGTAATAAACCTCTAAATAAGCTGGGTGGATCAATCTGCCAGTGAAGAGATGAATCCACATGAAACAACTCCCACAGGGATCAACAAACGCTTTTCATTCCACTAATTTATTCGTTTTTTTCTCGTTGCCATGTTCCCACCAATAACGTAGCTCCATTTTCTGCCTTTCAAAGCACACACAACCCACAATTCCTCTATTCGCTCCGACAAAGGGCTAACGCTCGAAACATCAGCTTTTGTAATCATTACGGTGGCCAATTTACCATTTCAACTTTGTTGGTATATCCAAATCATAAAGGAGACCTGGGTTCAGGTTAGAGCCACATAACTGTTCCAGATACAAAATGAATCTTGTTGAATTAATTCAAAATCATACAATTCAAATACCTTGAGTTTTGCCTCTGGTTTCTTCAGAGCCTCATCAATATCTTGAAGAGCAAGCTTGTCTTCATCATTCTTTTTCATAGAATTATAAAGGACTTCTACAGCGTGTTGAAGTCTTTTGTCCTCTTCTTTTGTATTGACACACCACATCACTTCATGTTCATTCTCTGCATTAATTCCCTCTCTGTCCTTTAGACATTTTGCTAAGGTAGCTGTGGCTTCCTCGTTTCCTTGTTTGGAAATTCCAATTAAAATGTTGACCGCCTCCTCTTTTTTGTCCAAGGTTGACGATTTTAGCAGCTCCTCAGCGTGAGATATTTTTCCTTCCATGAGTATGGTCAGCAGCGTGTGATATAATTGGGTTTCTAAAAAAATTGCAGCTCAAACTCCTTAACCTGTTTTGAAACAAGTTTTAATTAACATTCAAATCCTTGGTGTTCGGTCTTTTCGTCCAAGAGTCCTTTCGTCCAAATCTTTTCATCCAAAAAGTCTTTTTGTCCAAAAGTATTTTCATCTTAAGTCTTTAAGTCTTTCCGTGAAGCAAATAAATAACTATAATATTATATTTAACAATTATTCCATGAGTGTGTGTTGGATATGAGATGATAGATAGCCAATGAGGCACGTAGCGCCGAGTTGGCTATAATCATCTCATATCCAACAAGCACGAGTAGAATAACTGTTTTATTAAAAACGCCCCCAAGATATTACACAAATCTCACCAATTCTTAAGTTTTTTTAGCTTTTAATTTTAAGCTTACCATATTAATTTGTAGATTATGGTATATTGGCTCATATACCATATAATGGCTAAGCTAATAGAAATTCTTGAATTGCATAATCCAATGATCCAGTTTTTAAAAATATATTATAGATAAGGCTATATAAAGAACTTATCAGTGTGAGCCATTGCCCATTTGGTTCACCAATCTTCGTTTACGAATTCAACATCATGAATTTAATACACAGAGAATGAATGAAGTTGTAACGCAATATAATTTATTAAATAGTGGCTAAAATAAAAACTTGCTTGCCGTTTAATTATTTCACGCGAAAGAAATGGGAATATTAGGCTCATTGTTAAGCGTCTATTGAGCGTAAAAGGCAACGAAGTGTAACATCACTACATGTCCGACATACCCAAATGGCAGTGGCTTGCAACTAGTGCTTTGTATAGCCTTATCTATAATAATTTTTGTATTTTTAAAAACTGGATCATTGGGTAATGCAATTCAAGACTATTTATTGGCTTAGCCATTATATGGTATATGAGCCAATATACCATAATCTACAAATATGGTAAGCATATGCATTAGCTTAAAATTAAAAGGAGCTAGAAAACATAAGATTTGGTGAGATTTGTGTAATATCTTGGGGGCGTTTTTAATAAATCAGTTATTCTACTCGTGCTTGTTGGATATGAGATGATTATAGCCAAAATGCATAATAACAAAAGTTATTTATTTGCTTCAACAAAAAACTTAACAAGTAAACAAACAGACTTAGGTGAAAATACTTTTGGCCGAAAAGACTTGGACGAAAAGACTTTTGGACAAAAAGACTTGGATGAAAAGACTTCTGGACGAAGACAAAGAGACTGTAATTCAAATCCTTTACCTAACTCAGTAAAGAAATTTTGACATACCTTTTCTCAAAAGCTACATACACCACGTGTCCAGCGGAATTAACAAAGCCCTATGAGTTACGACTTTATGCTGCTGTTATCTACCTGCAAAACTTTTGATAAAATATGAAGTACATATTAGGTGACTTCTAAGAAGGAATTGCGGTCGTTTCACCAACGACTCGTTCATCAACATGTTAGGTTGATTCACCAACGTCCTACTGGTCAATTTGCCAACGTCAGATATCCAAGACTAAGGAAAAAAAAGTTGCTTATTGATGTTTAGAATGCAATCCTGATCCTTGAGTCACTGCCAGTTTCGCTTGACTGACTTCAGATCAATTTGCAAGTTTTGCAATGGTAAAGGCTTCTTTAAAAAGAGAGTGTTAATAACTATTGTGCCCGAGGCTTTGTCTCATTAAACGGCAACCAACATAAAATAAACAGAGCTAGGCAGGTAAAAAAATTTGATCCTGGAAATTACCTCTTTGTGAAAAGAAAGGAAAGAAAACTGCGTGCGTGTCTCTTTTCAACCATTGATGCAAGGATTGTAAAGAAACGCTGTTGTTGTCAAGCCTCACGGAACAAAGAAAGTGTGATTTCACACCTTCTTACTTTTGAGCGATGTCGCTTTTTGGACAGGACTAAGTGGCTGCAAAAGAGTAAGGTGGAAGAACAGAGTAACACACAAGTGCAAGTTGGTCATTTCTTTCTCATATTGTGGTAGCTCCTAAAGGAGCTGGTTTTTTTTTTATGGGACCTACCCAGTGGTAAGTCACTGAACTGTAGTCTACTTGTTGATGACTCTGGGTTTTGCCCAAGTTAGCCTTGTGCACTCCTTGGGCTTCTTCTGGGCTTCTTCTGGGCTTCTTCTGGGCTTCTTCTGGGCTTCTTCTGGGCTTCTTCTGGGCTTCTTTATTCTGCTCTCGGCAGAATGAGACCTTATCTTTTATAACTGCATGGCAGGTTATAAATGGTGTTAACGAAAACGAGAGAAGGGGAAAAAAATTTGTTTGTCGCTTGCGTTCGCCGCCGTGTTTAAAGAGCTGTTTAGATCACGTCCAAAAGCATCTCTCCAATGAAGCGCTAAGTTGTTATGAAACGGACAACAATAACCAACATAAGTCACACCTACCACCTACCACCTATCATCTGAGTTTGCTCTTGAATGCACGTGCAGGAAAATAAATGACAACACACACAAGTGAAGGCAAACTTTTATTTAGACGTTAGCGAATTGACAAGTAGGACGTTGGCGAATTGACATAGGATGTTGGCAAATCAACCTAACACGTTGGCGAACGAGACATTGGCGAACAAGACGTTGGCGAATGAGACGTTGGCGAATGAGACATTGGCGAACGAGACGTTGGCGAACGAGACGTTGGCGAATGAGACGTTGGCGAACGAGACGTTGGCGAAACAACTCGGTGGCGAAACGACCGGATACTCTAAGAGGTGTAAAACCTGCTAGGAAGTGAAAACATACAGAAAAATATTTGCCATACCTATTTAGACCCAGTGCGATCTGGATGTAACAGAAAACACTGCTGCTGGTCCGTGACAATTATTAGTAATTTTAATCAGTCAACTTGTATAGCGATCAGCTTATGTTACTGTGCTGCTGAAAAGATTCCAGATTCAAGCATGTTCACGTCGCAGATCAATAGCTTCACATCTTTATTTCGGACTTTCCAACCAACTGTTCACCCTTCTAAATCCACCTTAAATAAACTCGCATCATTTAAGAACATTTTTAAAACAAATGGTCCAGGTAATACATTCAATCTTCTGATGGGTGTATCCCCGGGCATTCTTGCATCCCATGAATGACAGTGAGGTGAGATCGATCTGGCTGTTCCGTTCCGACTGAACTAACTCCGTTGTTCGCGTTACCCTACATTTACATTTTTTCAGTTAGCAAAATCAATGAGGCATTCGATTAGATATCCAACTTTCATAAACCTACGCAGAGTGCAGTTCGTAATTACAACGGTTTATAAACACGTTTTCACTTACCCCTCAGTTCGGACTACACTTCCGCCATGTTGTTTTCAAATTGCCTTAGCTGGACCCCAGCGATATGGTTTGTCACGCCAGAAAGTATTGCGTGACAACGGTGTAGATGCCTGTCGTTAAGTTGGTGGAATATGGCCCCCTGACGTCTAACAAGTCACAATTTATAAATGTGAGAGAATCCCCAGCCTGCAGACCAGGCATAATTTTTTTTCGTGCTTTCCAGGCCCCAGTTGTTCGAACTACTAAAGCCAAGGAGGGACTTCCGGCTTCGGAGGTCTGAAGTCGGAAGTCCGAAGTCGGAAGTCCCGCCTCGGCTTTAGTGGTTCAAAGGTTGGATAACTTTATCCGGTGGATAAGCCCTTGTCTGCTGGATAGCGCAGTACGTTTTGTTATCACTTATCCGCTAGATAGCGATTTATCCGTCGGATAGCATTATCCGCCCTTTGAGGTAAGCTCGAGTCGCGTGAGAAAATAAGCGCAAAAAAAAAAAAAAGAAAGAAAAAAAGTGCCACATTCCAAGCAGAGCAGTTTACACAACACGAGCACCTGAATCTGTCCCACCATTCAATTGGATAATAGAAAGGCTACCTTGAGAGGCAGAATGGGGGAAGAGAATCAGATGTCGATTGAAAGTGACTGTTTGAAATGTTTGATATACATGCAAAATGAAGGATTGAACGTTCCTGGGGCTTTTCCCTTTTTGAATATTTTCCCGCCCGCCAAAATATTCAAAAGGGGAAAAGCCCTGGGAACAAGGTTGCTTTCCCTAGGGCTAGATACAAATAGAAAAGAAGCTGCAAGGAGCAGAGCACTGTATTTTGGGCACCACAAAAAAAAAATTATAGGTTACCTCCCACTACTTATCATCTCAGCCCCTAAAAAACAGCTGGCGAAGTCAAATTTATCTTACACACTGGCAGCCTCTCGCCCATCCCTTGAAACATTCAAGCCGGGTTTCCCTTTACTTTAGAATTACTTTCTAAATTCTGAAGAAAGTATGGCAATGAGACAACAGTAATATGACCTTGCAGAACTTTTTTCATCTTGCAACCCATGCGAGCAATTTTTGGTTCAAGATGACCATAGTACTATTGTGCAACACATGCGACTTTTGTCAGATCAAGATACCAGGTTATAATCAAGAAATCAACACTCTACTGTGGATCACCACGAGAAGTCGGCAAAGGTTGAGGCACCACCGACGCATCTTGTATGTTACAAGATAAACAGTGGCCAAAGCGTTGGCCGAAAGTTGACCAACAGTTGACCGACTGTTGGCTGACACGTTGGCCAACAAGTTGGCCGACGCATTGGTAGGATCAGATTCTTTAAACTTAGCGAGCTTCAAGAAGGTAGAGTACTTCCTGATCAAGATATTGGGATAGTTCTGATGGGCTTTTATTAAAATTTGATAATCTAGCAACATTTTGGCACACTGGCAAATTTCATTTGGGTATAATATCATTCTGTTATCATTTTAATTTTTTTTTTCAATTTTTGACCAAACATAAAAATGAGATCATAAAATTAATAAAGTTCTTGTTTATTTCAACAATGAATTAAGTGCAGCATCGAATACACCTTTCTGAATTGTTTGCAATAAAATAAATACATGTACAGATCTACCTTAATCAAGCAAAAACAAGCAAGTGTACCAGAAAAAATTGCTGTAATTCTTCGCATTCATGTATTGCCCACATATAGTTACACACTCCTGTTTGACTGTTTTCACTTCCTTAAAGGTCACTTAGCATGAATTGTTCTTTTGGCAATAACTAGTAGATAACCCTCCTTCGGAATTTCTCTGCTAGTTTACTTTTAACATATAGCATGACTGATTTCAGAGCCTCTGATTTCTTAAAAAACAGATTTATTACATTGAATATCATCTAAGCAAGGAAAAGGATAAGAATACTTGTTACACTGGTTGGTATGTTTACACTTGCGAGCAATGATAATCAGGGCAGTTCTGTCCTCTCTCAGTTGTGGTTTGTGTCTTTACAAAAGGTAAATCATGTACAATTAAACCCATCTCTATGAACAAATGGAGAAGTTTTTATGCAATGCTGTTTTGGGTACAAGGCATTTACACTGGGAAATGATTGTTGTTTAGATAGAGTGCACCCTAGTGTATTTATTACAGTGACTAACTATACCCTATGCACATGGCATGCAATCATTGGGTACCGTAAACCAGATACAAACATTACAATGATACCACAAGATGTAAAATCATAAGTACATTTACAGCAGAGATCTCTTATCTTACACTCCACCTCTACTCAGTTTCCTATCATTTACCAATATGCACAATAACAATCTCTAAATAAATTCCTCACAGAAAAGTTAAATGTAACTTGTAATTTTCTGTGCATGCACCTAATTGAAAGTGCATTCATTTAATTAACACATCAAATTCTTGAAAATCATGATTTGATCATATGTTATTTAAATGTACAAAAAGCTAGATACATTATTGCTTGTGCATGCAAATGCAAGCAAAGTTTGTAAACATTTTTTTAGCAACTATGCACTAAAATATAGTAACAGAAGTGATTCAGGTTCTTGACTGTATCTCAGCCTTCAAGAGAGTGCAATTTATAACACCACAAGGATGTTGAGCTGTACAAGATTCATATTTGCAGGATATCACACATTGTTCAACAGGTCACCTCTGATCTGATGAGCTGACAACCACAATTTCAATCTGTGATGGACTGTTAAGGAAATATTCAAATAATGGTTCTCTTCAAAACAAAAAATAGATTCTTTAAAGGTAAACCTGCAGGGTGTAATAAATCAGTCAGTCACATAAGACCTGAATTTGATATGTTTATGACACCAAAATCTACAAAAGACTAAATTCTCAATGCTCTCTTTTTACTTGTGGCTCTCTGTTCAGAGCTGTGGTCTAGCAGTGTGCAGTGGCCCCTGGCACCTTACTTTTGCTGTTAGGTGACACAGGAATCTTTTTTCATAAAAAGTATATGCTGGGCACCCTGGATTTCACAGTTTCAGAGCAATGGGCTCCCTTCAATTTTTCTTACAGCACAGCCTTGCTGATGTGTAGGAGGAATGTGGATTCTATGAAGACATGCAAAGTAACTACCTGACAGAAATTTCATGGGAATCTGAGCATGCACAATGAAACCACAAGCACACAATTGTGAGGATGAAAAATTCCATTCTTCCACTGACAGTCTTGCTTACAACCACTGACAAAGAGCCAAACTGATTGTAAGCCCAAGGTTGCATTTAATTCAACTTTACCCAAAGGCTACCATCTAAAATACCCTTGCTACATTTGCCATAAATTTATATAATTTAAGTAAAAGGATACAACTCGAAGTCCCCTGTCCATGGGGTTGGTGATCATTAGTCCCCTTGGAACAAAAACACTTTGGTTCTGTTCATTTATGTATTCTGCAAGTCTCTTTAAACACTGCCAAGACAGAATAAAAGGTTTCAAACAGTTCTTCGCAACCATAAAATATTATCTTTAAAATCTTACACTGTTGTCATACTATTAGTTTCCGATCCTTAGATTCATTTTGAATTTCCTTCATTCTTGACCATTTCATTGCATATTAATTAGAGTTCCCCTGTCACAAAACATCATAGCAAAACTGACCAATCATTTTACATGAACTGGACCAAGAACATTCTACTGACAACAACTATTCACTTGACTCTGATGATGACTTCCGCACAGGTTGTCGAAACATCAGTCACCACTACTGACAACAGTCCTTCTCAGGACTACACTCACCCAGACAATCACACTACACTTTCACATGTTATCCCAGCATTCAAACCATTTACTGAATTTCAAGACCATAGTATATTAAACCAAGCAGACAAGAAGTCCATATTTCAAACAGAGGTGTTTGATATACTATATTTCACTCTTTTCACTATTCTTAGCCCTGAGTCATCCTTAGTTCCGTACAGAAATTTCAGTTTAAAAAAATATTTCATTCACTTAAAGTGCCCCTGAGACGAAAATTGACCATTTTATTTTGGCCTAAATTGTTCACCCAATGTTGAATTGGGTCAAGTTAAGACCCTTTTTGCCATTAAAACTCAAAACAAACCTTTGATGACCAATTTTTACCGCTTCAAAGTCGTCCAAAAATCGTCTGCTATTGCTGAAAACATGTTCCAGCCGAGCTTGCAAAAACGTCATCTGACATCAAAGGCTCAACAAACTTATGCTTTGTTTTGTCATAACTCTCTTTGTTCGCTGCACAGAGAATCACACATATTACTTTTTTGAGAACTGTTTCGTTGTCAGTCGGGAAATGTCCACTTTTTCAGACGATGAATTGTCCCAGAAATCATCTGGAGCTTCTATGGATAGTTTTGCGCTGACAAACGATGAATTTTTGTCATGCGAAAAAAGATAAACACAGAACAGCACGGACTCTCCATGTGGCTTTTGTGGTCGTATTGCT